AGAATTGAAATAGACCTAATCGTTGAGCGCCATTGTTATGTAACTGCTTGTAGTGGACCAGAAGTCACGGCGGGTCGGCATGGTTGTAGCCCGGCTTTAGCTCGTCAGCCCTTGTCGTAGTTCTTGCCGTTCCTTTCAGCCCACAGCCATAATAAAAAAAGGAGTCATGCCGGAAATAGGAAACTGAAATGAAAGATGATACAGCGAAAAAGAGGGAAAGCGGTAGAAAACCAGTCCTGTCAAGAGGGAGCCGTCCCACCCCATCTGTCTGTGTAGCAAACAGACGTGAACCCCACTTTGGCTCCAAAACGTAGAAGTGGGGTTCCCTAATCCTGACCGTAATCCGTCAGTCTATTAATCCAGTCAAGTCCCCAGCCTGTCAGTCAGCGTACAAAGGCCATCTAGTTCTTCTCCTGCCAAGTGCCTTGAGGGCAACACCCACACCAACAAGAAGAGGGATTAACACGCCTTATTAACTAGTATCCCTTCACCTAGAATTTAAAATAACGTACATTTTCTCTTTTTTTTCAATTCAAATGTACAATTTATTTATAACTGTATTTATGTAAGTACGCATGTAATGTACCTTACTGGCCGTCTCCACAGGATAAAATTTATTGCTGCCCAGCTGTCATTTTGGTCGCTAGATATAAGTTATATCAGTGGCAATATTTGTGTGGGCTTTTTATATCTTGATATAAGCATTTGTAAGATAGCTTTGAAAATGTATTTTTGCCGGATTTAATCGCTTAAAAAATTTAGAAAATAGGCTATTTTACATCCAAGTACATAATTACAAATATTTTAACAGAAAACTGCTCAATTTTTGCTTTTATAATAAAATGATGATGATGTTGCAGCCAGGAAGTTTTCGTGCAAATGAAAATGTAGCTGTCAAACTACCAAATTGCCGGCAATAGATGGCAAGATATAAGCTCTGATATATATTGCTCTTGAAGAGCAATGAGCGGTCTCCATTGGCTATTTATATTCTAACATATATAGCAAGATATAAACTTTATCCTGTGGAGACGGGCAGTTAAATGCCAAAAAATATTCTAGTACGAATTTGCAAGAAAAAAAATTTATAACATTAAAAGAAAATGTATATCGTATTTAAAATTCAAAATTAAAAATAATATTGTACTTCAACACTTAAAACATCGTATTTTGCAAAGTATCTCGAAAAATGATTCGACGCGAGGATGCAAAATTCAAAATATAAACCGACAACTCAACAATAGCTAAGTACATGCCTGAGCGCATATTAATATATGTATATGTGCATGTTAAATAACAGAGTTGTTTCACTCACCTCGCTAATCCACCGATGATGGTACCAACAAGCGGCGATGTAAGCTGAAACAGAACGTGAGCAGGAAATATACAACAGTCCTACCTAACATACATAACTACACCTGCGGGAACAGAAGACCCCACACAGCCACGGACACGATCAAACGAGATCTTCTACTTAGTTCTATTCCCGTCGCGTTTGCTATCGACTCGAATACGACGCTTTGAGTGCCCTTGAGACCTTTGAACTAAATTTTTCTACATTTGACTAAAAAGTGTGTGATATTAAATTAGTTTAGTGCAAATTTAACAAAATTAGGAGAAAAAAATATAACTAAAATTATAAATATGTAAACGTACGTAGATTCAGAAAAGTGTACAAAAAAAAATCCGGTTTCTTACCACGTGGCTCGAGTGAGGTGAGGGTTTTGGGGTCAACGATTGAGGGTTTTGGCCTCATCGATTGAGACCAAGGTGTGTGATCAACAAAGTGTAAGAATATGTTTGCGGGCCGATTTCCCGGTACTATTACTGAAGCAAAGTATGAATTTCAAAAAAGGTGTAAAACTTATAAAATATAAAGAAATTATCAAAAAGATATAAATATCTTCTTTTTTGTGGTTATGTGGCTCTGTTGGGGTGTAATTTGCTCGAAGAGTGCACACTGTCCTGCTCTACTTGTGTGTGCTGTTCCCAGTCCGTTGCGGCGAAGTCACACTTGTCGCTCGCGCTCACGATTCCGCGGTGTGGTGTAAGCGTTGTGTACAGTGCGCGAGTGCTTACATGTCATTAACAGTGGCACCTAGCTGTGTTCCTGGCTTACTTCTCTGCTGGATTTGCNTTCCCGGTACTATTACTGAAGCAAAGTATGAATTTCAAAAAAGGTGTAAAACTTATAAAATATAAAGAAATTATCAAAAAGATATAAATATCTTCTTTTTTGTGGTTATGTGGCTCTGTTGGGGTGTAATTTGCTCGAAGAGTGCACACTGTCCTGCTCTACTTGTGTGTGCTGTTCCCAGTCCGTTGCGGCGAAGTCACACTTGTCGCTCGCGCTCACGATTCCGCGGTGTGGTGTAAGCGTTGTGTACAGTGCGCGAGTGCTTACATGTCATTAACAGTGGCACCTAGCTGTGTTCCTGGCTTACTTCTCTGCTGGATTTGCTTCTAGGCCGCTGGTGGTGTTGCGCCCTTCTTTATTGGGGACATCTGCATCAAACAGATGGATTGCTGCAGGTTTGATCGAACCCATGGTTTTCCAGTAAATTTGCCTATCGAACTACCTCTTATTACAGGGGTAAGTCAAACATGGTTTACAGTTTGGCAGTATATTTCGGTTCTTATCATCGCAACCTTATGTATGTTGCTAAGGTATAGCAACTTTTTCGGTGTTGCTAGTGGTTTGCTGACTTCCTGGATGTTGCTAAGGCAATGGTTGCATGTGCCACAGACTGCGGCCACATATACATCTACTAAAATAAGTAAATATTTACCGAGGCATGGTCCAGTATAGTCAACATGCACTCTTTCGATTGGCTTCCTTGGTCTTATCCAAACATGCACCGGGTTAATTTTTACAGGTTCTGCCCTAATGCTCTGGCCAGCTGTACAATTTATTTTATTTTTATTTTTATTTTTTTTTTTTATTTATTCAAGTCTATGAAATACAGGTTTCTTACAGACTACGAGCTATATTTAACAAACAACGTAAAAACTTAACAATATATTACAAAACTGTATTCAATATGTTAATAAGTTCATACTTAGATATTGAGAAATCAAACGAAACAGAGTTCGAGATCCTGTTAAGTTCATTGATAGCTCGAGCGATGGGAGCATTTCGAGCGTAATCAGTTCTAAGAATTTGTTCATAGAAGGGTACAACAATACGCAGAGACCTCCGCGGGATGTTAAAATTAATCCGAGCGAGAAGAGATGTACAATCAATGTCACCACTAATAATATTGAAAAAGAAAGATAATGAAAGAATTACTCACCTTGTCTCCAGCGTTTTCAAATTTATTAGAAGTAACCGTGAATTATAAGTAGGCATCGGCTCAGAGAAGTTTAATAAGCGTAGCGCAAACCT